TGTCGACACCGACCAGGATGGCCCCGGGCAGGGCCAGCTCCACGATGGTGTTCAGCATGGTGGCGTCCTCGGCGTCCAGGTCCTTCGGGGCCGCGAGCCCGGCCTTGGCGCGCCGGCGGACGCAGAACAGCACCAGCAGGATCAGCAGGATCAGCAGCAGCAGCAGGCCCACGGACAGGCCCACGGCCAGGCCGACGCGCGAGGCCCCCCCTTTGGGTGCCTCGAAGCAGTCGGCCTCCGTGGGGCCCATGCACGCGGTGCAGTTGGCGTGACAGGCGGCGCATGCCGGTGGGGTGCCTTCGTCATCGGCGAAGGTGCCGGACGGGCACTCGGCGGTGCACGAGGCGGAGTCCACCAAGAACAGGCCGCCAGCGCAGCGCGAGCACGAAGCCACCGCCGGGCAGGCCAGCGAGCCATCGGCCGTGACGGTGCACGGGGGCTGGGTCCGGTCGGCTTGGCACGCTTCACAGCCCGCCGGACAGGCCAGGCACACCCCCTCGAAGGGAGCATGCGCGGGCGGGCAGGCCGGCACGCAGGTGCCGCTCTCGCGCACGAGGACACCCGACGCGCAGCTGGTGCACCGGTCCGCCCGCTCGACGCACGTCGGACAGGAGGCAGCACACGCGGCACAGGCGCCGAGCTCCGGGGGGCTGTACGTGCCGGCCGGGCACGAGGCAACGCACTGGTCGTCCGACAGGAGGAAGCCCTCCTCGCAGCCGGTGCAGGCCGGCATGCAGGAGGCGCCGGACGATGTGCATTCGGCGCAGTGCGCCGGGCAGGCGAGGCACCGGCCGCTGGCGGCGCACGCATGAGCCCCGGCTGGGCAGCTGTCGACGCAGAGGCCGGCAGGCGAGAGGAAGCGCCCGGCGCCGCACGAGGCGCAAGTGCCGGGGTTGTCGCACGTGGCGCAGGTGGGATCGCAAGGGACACAAAGCCCGCCCTCGGGGAAGAAGCCATCCGGGCACTGCTGGAGACATGATCCACCCAGGAGAAGGCGACCAGCCGCGCAGGCAGTGCAATCCGAGGTGCTGGGGCCGGCGCACGCGGCGCAGGTGGAGTTGCATGGCTGGCAGGCGTGCCCATCCTGGAAGGTCCCCGCAGGGCAGCCAGCGTGGCAGCGGCCACCCACAAGGAACGGCGTGCCCGGGCCACAGGCCAGGCATTGGTCCGGCCCCGGGCCGTAGCACGTCGCGCAGCTGCCATGGCACGTGGAGCACAGCCCGCCCAGCGGCGAGCTCCCGGCCGGGCACTCGGCCACGCAGTCTGGGCTGGCCAGCAGCCAGCCCCGGTCGCACAGGGCGCACGTGGGCGCCTGCTCCGGGCAGCTGGCGCAGTGCTCCCCGCAGGGGCTGCACCCGGCGCCCGAGGCATTGTAGCCCACCGGGCAGGCCGGCACGCAGCGCATGGGCGACGCCCCGGCCGGCAGGGCCAGCAGATCACCCGGGCAGTCCGGCAGGCACTCAGTGCTCCGGGTCCCGGCGCACTGGTCGCACGACACATGGCAGGGCAGGCACCGCCCGGCCAGGGCCACATGCTTGGCGGCGCAGTGCTGCACGCAGTCGCCATCCTGCAGGACACCGCTGGCACAGCGCCAGCAGTCCTTGTCCGACGGGCCGTTGCACGTGGCGCACGCCGTGTCGCATGGGAAGCAGTCGCCGGAGACACGGTCCCGGTACTGGCCCTCCGGGCAGCCCGACACGCATGTGCCGGCCGAGCCGCCGGCCGGCACGAAGTCCAGCCCGGCCGCGCAGCTGGCGCACTGGTCGGCGCCGCCCCCGACGCAGGTGGCGCAGCTCAGGTCGCACGGCTGGCACGACTCGGTGTCGGCGAAGGTCCCGGCCGGGCAGGCGCTCACACAGGCGCCGCGCGAGTCGAGGAAGAGCCCCGGCTCGCAGGCCAGGCACCGGTCGGCGGTGCACGAGGCGCAGCCCGCCGGGCAGGCAGCGCAGGCGCCCGGCGGGCCGGTCAGCCGGAAGTGCCCATCCGCGCACAGCTCACACCGCTCGGCGGCCCCGGTGCAGAGGGCACACGAGGGGGCGCAGGTGGCGCACCGGACCGCCTCGACATAATCCCCCGGAGCGCAGGTGCTCCCGCACAGCGAGGCAACCTGCGGATCGGGGCTCAGAAACACCAAGCCGCTGTGGCACTCGGTGCAGGTGGCGTTGTCCGCGCAGCTGGCACAGGAGCTGTGACACGGGTGGCACATGCTGTCCGGGCCCAGGAAGTGCCGGCTGCTGCAGGCGGTGCAGGCGGCGGCCCCGGCGCAGGCAGCGCAGCCGGCCGGGCAGGGGACACACCCGCGTGACGGGCTGTCCGGCCAGGTGCCGGCCGGGCAGCCAGCCACACAGGCCCCGGCATGGAGCCAGGCCCCGGCCGGGCAGGCCTCGCAGGCGCCCGAATCGCCCGGCAGCCCGCACTCCAGGCAAGAGTCATGGCAGACGAGGCACCGATCGGGGCTGGCCCCGGCCGGGGCCCGCGCAAAGCCCGGCCGGCAGACATCGCACACGAAGGCCCCGGTGCCCGGGTCCGAGCACGCGGCACACGTCTCGTGGCAGAGGCACTCCCCGGTGGGCCGAGCATGCAGCCCGGGAGGGCAGTTCGACAGGAGGTCCACCGTCACCGGGCCCGTGGCCACCGAGAAGCCCAGCAGCGATAGCGCCTGCCCGGGGGCCCGGTGGACAAGGGGGATGGCCGGCTGCCAGAGCGCCGCGCCGGCTGCCAGCCGGAGGGCCCCGGACAGCGGGGTGAAGGTGGCCGGCAGGAGGGCACACGGGCCGTCCCCCGGCATGCAGCGGAGGAACGACACCCCGAAGAACCCGCGGGCCAGCAGCAGCAGGGCGGCCGGGAGCTCCGGGCGCCCATCCGGCAGGGCGACGGCCTGGAACCGGGCGTCCAGCTCGTGGGCCAGGGCCTCCGGCAGGGTGCCCAGCAGGTGCCCGATGAAGGGCAGCTCGGTGGACCGCCCGGCGGGGAGCATGTCGCCCGGGACCTGGGCCGCCTCCCAGAGGGTCGCCTTGATCCGGGTGAAGACCAGTACCGGCGGCTCCGGCGCAGGGCGCGGGAGGAGGACCGGCGCAAAGTCCACGATGCCAGGCAGGAAGCGGTCCTTGGCCACGCTTATGCGCGAGTCCCAGGTGCTGAGGATCTGACGCAGGGCCATGACGCCGGCGTCCGCCGGGCCGCTGTGCACAATCCATGTGCCCTGCTCGGCGATGGTGAAGGAGCGCCCGGTCCCGCCGTCCTGCGGCAGGGCGGCCAAGTGGCCGGCCGGCAGCTCGTGGTAGTCCATGTACGTGGTGCTGACGTTGACCTGGATCAGGTAGACCGAGCTCGGCCGGGGGGCCTGTATGACAAAGAGGTCGGCGCCCAGGCGCTGGATGTCGAGGCAGCTGTACAGCGGAAGTGGCAGCGGGACCGGCGCGGCGGCCAGCGTGCAGGGCCCGGGCGCCTGGCACGACAGCCGGACCTGGTACGCCTGGCCATTGGCCAGACACATGAGCCCCACCAGCAGCAGGCTCGGCCCGGCCTGGAGGGTCGCCGTCTCGGTGTAGGTGACCACCGGGGCCGGGAGCGGGCCGCCGCCCAGCAGGTGGATCACCGTCGGCGGCGAGGCGTCCGCCTGGTTGACATCCTCGCCCCACACCAGGTACACCTCCAGGGTCCGGGTGAATAGCAGGAGGTTGCGGCCGGCCGGCCCTGCCGAGTCCGACGGCGCCGGCACGACCGGCATCCCGGTGCCGGGGATGACAGAAAGCCGGGTTTCCACGATGGCCGTGAGCTCCTGGCCGGCCGGCAGGCCGGAGAAGTGGCTCGGCCTCGGGGGGGCCAGCGCGCCGACCGGCGACGTGAGCTCGGCCGGCTGGCAGGTGCCGGCGTGCTTGACAAAGCCGCTGGAGCAGCTCAACACGCATGCGGTCTGGCCGGCCGGCTGGCGGAACTCCAAAAGGAGGGGGCTGCCGCAGGCCAGACATTGCGTCGAGGTGCAAGTCCGACAGCCGGGCTGGGCGCACGGCCGGCAGGAGTGGCTCGGGTGGGAGAAGGGGGGTCCGTCTGGCGGGGAGTCGGCGGCGGCCCAGCCGACCCCGGCAGCCGGGGAGGGGAGAGGGCACATTCGCATGTGAAGGAGGCGCAGCGGCGGGGGAGGGGGGAGATGGTCAGTGGGAGGACCGGGGGAGGGCACATTCGCATGTGAACGAGGCGCAGCGGCGGGGG